TGTATATGAAGAATTAACAGGATCGTGTCAATCGACTTTACGATCTAAGCGTATTATCGATTTTGAGTGGAAAAAAAAACAATAGAAAAGAAAAAGAGAGAGAGAGAGAGAGAGAGAGAGAGAGATAAATAAATAAATAAAAAATATTCGTCGTTAACTGTAATCATTGTTTTCCAACGATTTATACTACCTGATAAAGTGATAACTCACGCGAGCCATCGTTAATTATGAAAGGAGATCGAAAATTCGAAATGATACGAATCTCTTTCATCCAAATGTTTTTCTTTTCCTTTACATTTTATACTCGTCGTCAAATCGATATCATTATTGTATATAATTGAAAAATAAATCCAATTATGATATAAAATGCAAGATTGTAAACGTTAAAACCTAATTGTTTACAATATCGCGAATAATAAAACTTATTGTATAATTTAATTTTTCATAAATTTATAATATATATATATATATATATATATATATATATATATGCTTCATGTTTTTTGATTTATTTATTTATTTCAGGTATTGCATATTTATATTTTAAGATGGATTTTTTTCAGATTTTATACATGAGTAATGACCAATTTAACGAATTGATCGGTGAGAAATAACGAAGGGCGAAGTTATTTTAAGATTTTTATGGCATGATATTAACCGACATTCGGCTTAACCGCATTTCACGTTAAGTGTACTCGCGATCGTTGCATTCACGAAAACCACTTGTGATAGCAATGCGATTATGGTTATACCTATAATATCTGCCCAGATATTATATACATACATACATACTTACATATATATATATATATATATGTATATACATATATAGATAGATATATCTACGCTTGTAAGATATTGTAAATGTATAGTAGGTATATCGAATATTCGCTACGATATTTCCTATACGATATTTTGAGTTTACATGAAAGGTTATATAAACGAGATCCGAGCTTTACCGTGCCAGGTGAATGGAACTTTTTATAAAGTATCATGGAAAGCGTTAAAATGTTTTAAAAGCTTTCTTGAAACGACGGATTAGCACGCGAAAGCTTGCGTATAATGACCCCAATTGTTCGTATGTCCTTTCTCAAAAAAATCGTTTCTCATTTCAATTGATCCAATAATTAAACTCATAGATAATAATTATTAATAAATTTGAAATTTGAATAAATATTGAAACCAAATTGTCATCTAACTTACTCGTTTTGTATAAAAATATAATAAATAAGAAAAGAAATGTTTCATAGGAAACATCTTAGGAATTAAAATTCCTATAATTTGTATCTGCGATAGAAAATATAAATAAACTTTTTTTCAAATATTTTATTAGATACAACTTATGCGAATGACAAAAATAATATCATAATCAGGCAATCTGTTACAATGATAAGATGTCTAGAATATTTATTTTCTATTTCTTATCGCTTTGAATTTTTTTTAATTCGTGAAATACTTCATAAGTTTCTTTTTGTTTTTTTTTTTTTTGAAACATTTTTTGAAATGAACTATATATCTAATTTTTGAGAAATAATTATCTAGGAAAACTTCAAATAGGATATCCTATATATAAGAGTGTATATCTATTTTTTTTCGCATAACGATGCCGCTATATTCATACGAATAAAAATAAGAGAATAACAATAATAATAATAATAACATTGTATAAACATAGATTCTAATAATGCTTCGTTAAAAAGTTTTAACAATAATAACAAAGGGACAGGGACTTATTTTCGTACGATATATTATAAAAATAGATTGATGATATTTACTTGTGTCAATTACATTTCAAAATGGACGCCCGTCTCATTTTTCGTTTAGATGTACGTACTCATAAAATCTTCGAATCAATTCTTCATGCGTATTAAAATTTTTGTCGTGTAAATTTTGTCGTGTAAATTTTGTCGTGTAAATTTTGTCGTGTAAATTTTGTCGTGTAAATTTTCTTTCGAAACTTCCCATTAACCAAATACTCTCTAACTTTCAAATATTTTATTATTCGAAAGTTTTATTATTCGAACAACCGTTTCGTAGCGATATTTATATACAATGTTATGTGTACTTAACAGATTTCGACCGAAACGAATTCTATATAATAACAATAATCTTGTGTAAGTTAGTCTTTATCACGATTACCAACAGCCAATTATCACAATGGTAAACTAAATGAAAACGTGTAGTTCTAAACTATTGAAATCAATTACAAAATAATTAAATAGCTTGAAAATGATGGATGTCCAACGTATTTAACGAGAATGTATGATGTTAACACTTCTAAAATCACAATTAAATTATACAAATAGGATATTGAAAGTTAAAAAATTACAAAAAAAATATGATATTAATAATTAAAAAACAAAAATATGATATTAAAATTATATAAAGTATGTAAATCCCGCAGATTATTAGTTACAGTAGAAAAAGCTTAACGCATCGAAAAAGAAAAAAAGTATAGACGATCGAAAGAAGGCTTTCTATGGTTAGAGAAAAAGAATGTAACGTCTAATATAAAAGATTTTTTATGTTAAAAAAATTTACGTGATTTACCAGACAAACAAAAAAAAAGATATGATGATACTTGAATACCGACACAAGTATAAATTGTGTTATTTTCTATTCGAATAAATAAAGTTCAATATAAGAAAAAAGTTGTTCTTAAATTATTTGAAAATTCTCTTAGCCAGTCATTTTTCTTACTAAAGACTCTTAAAATCTTACGTTATGAAATTTTCATTAAAGAACGTGTACATATTTTTGGAATACTCTTAAATTATGGAATATGTCGATTTCTGTTTAAATACAAATGCGATTGAGAACTATTATGCGAGAAAATTTTTGTCGATATACCAATACAGCAGGTGGAACATTTGACCATTAGTTAAAATCGTGAAATGAAATGAAATGATGTGATATGATATAATATGATAAAATATATGATATAATATGATATTATATGATATATGATACTCATATGCGACATACTCACGATCTGAGAATATTCGCGACATATCGATATGAAATTGTACGACTAACTGATTATTGATATTAATACAAAACACGTTTATTCTTTGGAACGACCTTAAGTGATAACAGAGCTCGTATAGACACATTAAATAAATACAGACAATCTCATCTTATAATATGTATTATATCCAATGAGAATCAATCGATTTGTTATTTCGTATTTTTATTATGAATTTCTTGACGAAGAATTTTCGTGGCTCTATATCTTTATATGATATTTTTCTTTTATTTTTACTCGTAGCATATATCCTGAGATTATTATATGAAAAAAAAAAAAAAAAAAACAAAATAACAAAAAAATTACATTCTGTACATATATACGTATATACAGTACATCCTTTATGTACGTATGTATATACAGTATATTTTGTATGTATATATGTTATATTATTATTTATTAGAATAAATTTTAATAATTTATAATTTTAATAATTTATTAATTTATAATAAAATATCTAAGATAGAATATTTATTTCATTATATTTGTAAAATAAATAAACAACCGGACAGAGTCAAATATTATTCAGTTCGAAAATATTATATATTCGAATATGTTCATAAGTCACTCACTGTACGTTATTACGTACGAATGAATTTCGTTGAATTTTCAAAAGTCACACTTGGCTTCTCTGTTTCGGATTCACGAGGACGGATTACGTGCTTGGTCGATTCCGAAGAGTCAGCCGAGCGTTCAACAGTAAACGACGGAACGTATGTATGTAGATATGTATTCCCGTTTGATTCAAAGCTTTCGAAGCTTACTCACCGTAAGCTAATTCTGATCCGACATATATAACGAAAGAAAAAATAAAAAAGGATATACGAACAAGAAAGAAAGTGAGAGTATGCTCTTAAAAGCGACCATTTTATAGGTAAAACGTACAAAAAAAAAAAAAAAAAAAAAAAAAAAAAAAAAAAAAAAAAAAAAAAAAAAAAATAGGGAGGCAAAACAGACAATTTTTCTTTCTTGTTGTCGTCGGACGTCGTATCGATTTCGCAAACCTCAATCGAAGATTTTCTATCCTTTACCAAAATCCCGAAGGATATTCCAGAAGATCTGGGCGCAAACCTTTTACCTTATCGTATCTTATCGAAATGGACAGGAAATCGCGAACAATAAAATTCCGTATACGATAGACAACACAACCATTTATTTCCGATCCAATTTTCCGAGTGAAATGTCATTGGTATCTAGAAAATAGTTTTCACTTTTTATAAGGGTATGCATGATACGTGAGTATATATAAAAAGAAAAGAAAAGAAAAGAAAAAAAAAAGAACGATCGTGTATCAAACGACCAATTCTTCTTCTTCTGAATTTTCACCAAGTTTTTTCTCCTTTTAAATTTATTATGTAGAGGGTAGATCATAAATAATATTTTATGATCATTTGCACTTTGAAATTGGACAATCCTTTTTCGTTAACATCTAAAGTACCATGAAATAATGAATAGATAGAAAATTAATCTATTACACGATAAATTTCTTAAATATTTGTTTAAAGAACTTCCATATAAACAATTTATTGTATACTCTTTTAACCTAAATTTTCTGTATCAAATCATGTAATAATTGATATCATTTTATTTTATATATGTCTCTTGTACATACAGATCGATAACATCTACAAGATATTCATTATCAATTTTTTTCTAAATAATATATTTACTTGTACTTGTCATACATCTTTTCTACGAACGATAGTCAATTTTTTGAGAAATTCTTTATGATAGATTTTTGCACGATACATTAATTTCTTTTTTTTTTTTTTATTCATTCTAAACATTTAATCAATTTCAATGAGGACAAACAATCGCTTTTTTTTACGTAACAAACGTTATAACGTAATCGGTTTAAAATATTTGAGAATAAAAATGGGGAAAAAAAAAGAAAAAAAGAAAAAAGAAAAAGAAAAAAGAAAAAAGAAAAAGGAAGTGTATTTCCTGAATGACAAGAATCGTTTTCTGTACTTACACAGTGAAATGATAGACGAAGCAGAGCCATCCACCGGGATGTTCAAGGAAAACATAAAGTCTCTCTTGAAAAGTCTTCCCCTTCTTATGATGGAACACGTATTTTGCTTTGAAGGCCTGATCGATAGGTAAATAAATGGGATAGTAAGGATCAGGTACACCAGTTTGATCAGGACTAGGTGGTTCTTCCTCGGCACCATTCACTTCGTTCTCTATAATGTCGTCTTTGGTTTTCTTTCTTCTATGTTTTCTCTTCATAGGCGTTGGAACTCGTTTATGATGCGCCTCGCCAAAACGTGGCGAACGGAAACGACGTAAAAATGTGAATCTTCGTGTAGGCGAGGGGGGTGGCTCTTCCATCGGTGCACCGTTGTCCTCGGTGTCCTCTGTCTCGCTTTCTGCTGTTTTCAAGGCCGCGTCCTCCGACTCAAGACAATGTTCAATCTCAGCGAGCTCATCCTCGCTACCTTGAAGGGCAGCATATACCGCCAAACTGCTACTACTGCATCTTTTATCCGTGAGCCTAGAGCATTGGTCCTTGCTTCGTGGAAGACTCTCGTTGTACGCGTCACCTGGATAATTCCAGGACATTGCCAAGCTTTTGTGCACGTTATATGCGCTATCGTATTATACCGACCGTCCCACTGATCGCTCGATCGATCGATCGATTAAATATCCTAATTCCGTATCGTTTTTCTCTTAAATATTTTTTTTATATTTTATTTATCTGTCTATACGGCAAATAACCAAAGATCTAACCATATCGTTTCTCTTTTCACATCGATTTTTTATTTTTAATCAGATTTTTAGAAAAAAGAAAAAAAAAACATTCGAATATTTTATTCTTGTTTTTTCTTTTTCTACTAATCACGTCTTTTATCTACTTCTCTTTTGCTTGGTTGAGTTTCCTTTTTTTTTTTTTTTTTACTTTTAAAAATAATATTCAAATATTTTCTTTTTATTAATCGCATCTTTTATTTTTCCCCTTTCTCTATTAATTAATTCGATCAATATACTTTATTCGGTGGGTTGATATGTTTGATATGTAAAATGAAAAGAAAAAAAAAAAAGAAGAAAACCATTGACACTTACAAAAAAGTTTCATTATACGAGAAACAAGTTCGTAAAATTTTACATGAGCTGCCATGCTGTACACAATACGCGTGTTCAAAAATTTCTCTATAGAATAAACATAGAAATATACATACATACATGTACACATACATACATACATGTACATATACATACATGTACATATACATACATATATACGTACATGTACACAAACATACATACACACACACACATACACACATGTTCATTTCTTATAGGCGCTCTCACTTTCTTAACTTTCTCATTTTAAGCTCCTTACATTTTTCTTTTCTGTGTCTAATATTCTACTAGGTCTGGCCATTTGTTGATCTAATTGGAACACGTTCTTTCTTTTTATTTACGTTTTCATTTCTCTCGAAACACTGTTTATCATTCTCTTCTAAATAACTACATCCTCCATACCTGCCTTATCGTCTTTCTATACGTATATATCCCTTTCTCTCCCTCCCCCTCTCTCTTTCTCTCTCTCTCTCTCTCTCATACATCATCTATTGTACATTGTATGAACAAGTAATCGTATCTTTGTACGAAACGATCGAAGGAAACCCGTCGTTTTGTGGTATGTATCCGATATTAACGAACGATCTTTCTCTTTCTCTCTCTATCATTTCGAATGACAAATGCAACAAATAATCCAACAAAGATTCCTACCGGAGCGATTCCTTCTTCGAGATAGTGGCTTTAACGTGTAGGAGATAATTGAAGCGAACCAGCTTCAATCGAAGACCTCATCGTAATGGACTTCCGTCCCAGGCTCATAGAAAATCGATCGTGGTGGTTGCTCATATAACTAGAAATGAGATCGATGTATGCATGTACGTATGTATGTATCTTGTATGTATGTACATATGTATATAGATGTAAGCGAAAGTAAATCGATTCTATGCGTAAGTATTGTTGCAGCTTGAATCAAGTATGATACTCGTGAAAAGTGGCTTCTTCGCGTGTTTTATCACGTTCGCAAAATATTATCGATAAATAAAACAAAAAATATGCAAAGAATTTCCAAGGTTTATGAAACTGATCGAATACTTAAAGTCATTTTGCAAGAATCTCAAATATTATCTATATTTAACTCTCCATAATACATTTTTATTTTATATATATATATATATATATATATATATATATATATATAAAATAAAATTATACGAATTTTATATAAATTTTAACAACCATTTAAAATGTTACCCTTAATATAAACTCATAATAATTTAACGATTAATAAATTAAGGCTTATATATACCGCTTTATATTAACGTTAAATTTTCATTAATATAGTTCAACATGATTACATAATATAAATTAATAAACAATATAAATTAGTATATATTGTAATCTGATCTTTTTTTTTGTCAAAAGAAAAAAAAATATATAAAAAAAATTATAATGCATTACGTGAAACTTATAATACAACCTTCTATGAATATTACAATGTTATATTGTGCAAAATTTATACTTAAGAAAATCATTTGATAAGAAATAATAATTTTATTAGCAAAAACGCGACATGTATATATATATATATATATATATATATATAAACTTGTTATTTCAAAATTATAGGCATTATAGAGAGTTAAAAACATTATTATTTTTGTCTTCTAATTACTAATAATAGCACTATAATAATTTTCTATTAAAGTATTGATTTTTTTATATTTCTTCTTTTTAATTAAAATAAAAAACATAATACAATGGAGAGAAAGAAAGAGAGAGAGAAAGAGAGAGAAAGAGAGCAAGATGATAACTAGTCGCATAGTAATCTTGATACTCAACCCGATATCAACGGGACTGAAATAAAATCTTAAAATTCTCTATATAATAGAGATACATACACTTATAAAAAAAAAAAAAAAAAAAACAAAAACAAATAAATTAATGTTCTATATTAATAAAAATAAAATGTAATACAATTTTGAAAACAGTATTTTTTTTTCACACGTTATCTTCATTATAATTTTATTAAACATTACTCATCATCTTTATCCTAGTGTTATAAAAAAGACAAAAAAAGGAAGCAAATTCGTGTACATTATTCTTTTACTTTTTTTTCGTATTGTCAAATAACTGAATATGTATGGTAAAGTAAACGCAATTATGGGATAAATGATTATACGTTTTACATTTATCGATATAACGTCTATACATACACGCACTCACGCACGCACGCACACACACATATATGTATGTATGTATGTATGTATATGTATGTGTATATACATATAATATTTATGTACAATCGAACGAATGTAATCTAATCGAAAGCAATTTTCCTCTAGGCCGATTAATTTTTCACACTGATCCATCACTTGGATATATCCTATGAGAACAGAGGGGAATAAGGGAAAAAAAAAGAAGATGAGAATTACCGAGAGATTGAGACGAAAAAAATACGAAAGATAATAAATAAATGAATGAATGCATGAATGATAGAATGAATAAATAAATAAATAAATATATAATTCAACTAGGATGTTACTTTTCTTTCTTTTCGTTGATGAATGAAACGAAATTATACGCTAAGTCACATATCTTTTCTCGATAAATTTCGACGGTACAAGCACATTTTTTTTTTTTTTTTGTTCTTTTCTATTATAAATATAAAGAAAAAAGTAAAGGAAGAAAAAAGGAAAGAAAGAAAGAAAGAAGAAAATAGTAAGTAAGTAAGAGAAGAACGTAGGATGATCGAAAGAAGTAAGCCAGTACAACGGATGTATTCGAAAGTGCCTTGAAGATACATGAATCTTTTCTAAGAAATGTAAAAAAATCGAGGAAAAAGAAAGAGAGAAAGAAAGAAAGAAAGAAAGAGAGAGAGAGAGAGAGAAGAGAGAGAGAAGAAAGAGGGAGAAAGACAGAAAGAAAGAGGGAGAGAGAGAGAGAAGAAAGAGAGAGAAAGAGAGAAAAAAAGAGAGAGAGAGAAAGAGAGAGAGAGAGAGAAAAAGAAGAGAGAGGGTGAAAGACAGAAAGAAAGAGGGAGAGAGGGAGAGAGAAGAGAGAGGGAGAAAGACAAAAAGTCATGAAGAAAAGAAAAGAAAAGAAACGAAAAGAGACGAACAAAGATGTTGATGCTTTCAACGTTTTTCCTTTAATCGAAATTTCCAACTGACGAAACGAAGGAAGAAAAAGAAAACCGGAAGCGGAAACGGAGCGGAGGAAGAAGGAAATAGTGATACTTAGTCGGTTCCTTTCAAAGGAAACTTTAACGCGTTCGTTCTATGGATGATAAGCTTAAGCATTAAACGGAAAATGAGACTTCATTCCATCAATAATTTCGTAGACGTTTCTTCAGGATAAAACAAAAAAAAAAAAAAAAAAGAAAAGAGAGAGAGAGAAAAAAAAGAAACAAATTAAAAAGAAAAGGTCGCGCGATAAATGTTTGTAAAAGTTAAATTCTTTTTTTAAATTTGATTTACGAGATTGGTGGTTTGATAATTGTTTATTTATTTGAAATTAATTTATTTGAAATAAAAGTTATTTTAAAATATATATTTAAAAATTTTTCTTTTCGTTCACTCATCCGCGATGAAACATAATTTTGTTAGCGATATTTTTTTTCACGACACAATGTTCGACGTAAAATCAATTTTTTGACGATATCAACGGGAGTGAAAGAAAATCTTAAAATTTTCTATATAATGGAGATACATAAACTTACAAAAAAAGAAAAAAAAAAGAAAAAAAAAACGAATAAATTAATATTCTATATTAATAAAAATAAAATGTAATACAATTTCAAAAACAATATTTTTTTTCTTTGTTATTTAATTTCCTTTATCATTTCTAATCCAAATCTGACGAGGTCGAGAAAAAAAAATTGATTTTTATAATTATTTACATTCGTTGAATTCGACCTCATAATTTTATTTAAATTTTAGGCACATATCCATTGATTTTTTCTATAAGTTATATCTATTTATGAAAATACAAAATTTATTCTTTATAGAAAACAATAAAAAAGCGTTAAAAAGGTTTAATCACTTGTTCATTTTCTTTTTATTACTTTCACCGAACCTGGTAGACTTATTTTTAAGTTTACCACCTGTCTACGTTCCCATGTCACCAATCTAATCATAATACTCACGTTACGTATCATAAAGTATCGCATAGAACTATGGCAGGAACTATGGAAGGTCAATAGCGTACATATCCCAATTAATCATTTAATATCAATTATATGATTGCGTACCATTTGATGGACAACTCTTACGTAACAAGTATGGATGCTTTAAAAACAGTTGCATTTAATTTCGATCCCATCTGTCGCTTATCAAAATTTTATATGTATATATATATATATACATCCATACATATATATATATATATATATATATACATACATACATCCATACATATATATATATATACATACATACATCCATACATATATATATATATACATACATACATACATACATGCATATATATATATATATATATATATATATATATATATGCTATATATTTCGATTGTCGAAAAGAAATTTATTAAAAGATAAAACGCAAAAAGATCGACGAAAATTGTTATTAGCATTAATAATTTCAATAAGTAAGTCTATGAAAGCGATTCAATGTTCAAACCACCATCGATAACACCGATTGATATTTAATTAATTTCCTATTACCTCGTCATGCTAGCAAATTCGCTCGATGTTATTCGATCTCGATAAATAAACGAATAAAATTAATTGACAAAGATTTATCAATTGTACTCATCAGTACGTTAGTTTTCAATGAAATGCTTTCATTTTCTAACCAAATAATAAAATCATATCCACGATTTTACTAGTTATTAGTTTTACTGGTTATTAAATTATATCGTCCAATAGGCGTATATTTTTGTCGTTGAAACAATTCGTTGTTTATTCATTCATTTGTTTTAATATCATAGAAGGTAAAAGAAATGGAGAAAGAGAAAATGAAAGACAAAAAGAGAAAGAGATAGAGAGAAAATACAATTCGAACGATCAGTGGGAATATGACGGTTGTTGCATCGTTTCGGTGATACTCAATTTCATCAAATACGCAATTTTTCTTTCACGAGCGTTAATTTCAATCTTCCATGACAATTTTTCAAACGTCGCCGCTCTCGATACTGCATATTTTCAAAATACGAATTCGCGAAGTGAGCTATTGAAAATAATATCTAAGTATATATATATATATATATATATATATATTTATATATATATATTTATTTGTGTATATATGTATATTGACGATAATAATTAACGAACACTCATGATAGTTGCCCGTCAATTTTCGATCAGAATCGTTAAAATATATAAATTCTATTTACATGGAAATGAGACACGGTCATCGATTTTAATGAATATCGATGACAAACGAATTCAACGTGTACATTTAATTGAAGAACAAGAAGAAAAAGGAAGAAAAAAAACGATCAAAAAAATGATGCTATATATAACGAATTATGAAAACAAAGGAATGGATAAGAAAAAAATTACTTTGGACCTTTAATGTCTTTCGTTTATCCTTAAATATCGTCGAAATAATTATATGCACGTTCGTTGAATTTAATGAGAAGCACTCTCATCAAACATAATATAACCCTTAATATTCTTGAATGAATTCAAAAGTTTTCTGTGTATATCTATACGATGAAACACGAACGTATCTGTTATCGTCCAACGTCGAAAGCGACCTGAACTTTCGCGGGAGATTTTCTATTGACGCTCGTATTTATTAGTCAATCGAATGTGATGCGCTCTTAATCGACACGTTGACTGCCGTGGCAAATATCATTAACAAATTCGATATTCAAAATTTCATTGAAAATAATCGCATAAAACGAAATACAAACAATAAGGAGTAATATAACACACGCGTCTATTTTAAAAATTTCATATTTCAAATTATTTCATTATGAAAATAAATTTAAATCAAATTTCATTGAAAATAATAATATGAAGTAGAAAAAAAAGTAGGAAAGTTCCTATTTTAAAATATCATTTTTTTAAATTGCGATTCTATTATGATAACGAATTCAGTGTTTAAAATTTCATTGAAAATAATCATATAAAGAAAAAAAAAAAAAACAGAAAAATAGAACCTATCTTTCTTAAAATTATACTTTTCAAATTGCCATTTTATTATCATGAAAAATTATAAAACAATATTTTTCAATCAGTATATCACCGATGTGTGAAGTAAACACGAGTAAGAAATATATTTTTTTACAAACGATGCCAATAAAGTAAATAAAAATAATTATTGAAAAATATTTTCAATGAAATATTCAAAAGAAAGACACAGAATTTTTAATTTCAAAGTTATTTAAGTGATAACTCTTAAAAAATGGAAAAATAAAAAAAAACTGCAAAATACGATTGCTCTCTCACAGCATCTAACGTGTCAAACGTGTCAAACGAAATATGACGCAGGAAGGTACCTGAATGATTGCACCTTCTATGACCCGAATGTGCTTGGCAGTTGAAATGATGTTCCTGCGAATGCGTTTGATGTTGGTGATATCGATAATGTTGTCTATGTTGTTGTTGTTGTTGTTGTTGTTGTTGTTGTTGTTGTTGTTGTTGTTGTTGTTGTTGACTTATCGGTGCCTTGAGGACGCTAAGAACAAGGTCCTCGTGCGATGGTACAATGCGAGTCAATTGTCGACTCTGCCGAAAAAGAGTTTCCTGTTCGCCACGATTCATCCTGCGGCCAAGTCGACGACTTTGGAGATAAAATCCAGGATACCACTCGCGTCTACCGCGTCCCGGTCCACTCCCTAGCATAACAGCGTGCAGCATCCCGACGATCTCTTCACCTTCATGGCCAATGAGCGTGTTAAATGCTCATTATTCAATTCTTCGACGACGACGACGACGACGACGATGACGACGACGACGTCGATGAATTTCGACGTCGTTTTGATCGATGATAATCGTTGAACGTCGTTCATGGTTCACGAACTTACTGACAATTTATTAAAAAAAAGAAATAAATAAATAAATAAATAAATAAAGAAGAACTTCGACGAACTTTTTCTAATAAGAAAGATGTTATTTAAAATTTCAGAAATAATAGTTGATATTCATGATACCAGGATCATAGTACCATTTGTTTTCCATTCTCTCTCTCTCTCTCTCTCTCTCTCTCTCTCTCACTCTCTTTCTCACACTCTCTCGATTTATCTATCTATATTTCTCTTTTAATATATTTTCAACTACGTGAGACTACGTGATCGAAGAAAAAGTTTCAATAATCGAAGGAATTACACTCGAACGAACTTTTCACTCGTTTCGTCACTTGCCACGACGGTCTCTTGCGATCATCCCACGAGCTCTAACCACCACCCTTCCTATCGATAAAGACGCTTCACCCCAAACCAACGATGAAACGAACTTTGAGTCTTCGAGATATCAATAAACCGGTTCATCGTGTATAATATTCACAATAACTTATTCTTCTCATCTTTCGAAAAATTTCCTATCTCTCTCCCTCTTTCTTTCTCTCTCTTTCTCTCTCTCTCTCTCTCTCTCTCTCTCTCTCTCTCTCTCTTTCTTTCTCGTCTGAAGAGAGAAAGTTGCAAGCAATTCTTTATTTTCACAGAATTTAATCTTTCTTCACTTTCAGATTGCTCTTTTACAATTTCTCTCGAAGGTTGCAAAAAGTATTCCTCCGTTCATTGTCATTTCTCTCTATTTCTTTTTCTTCGTTCCTTTCGACACTTTTCTCCACTTTATCCGTTCTCCTCTAGACGAGAGTCTCTCTTAATTCGTACATTTTTCTCACCTAAAAACTCTCTTCAACAGATTATGGCTTTCGATTCTTCGTGTTCGCCTGGACAACCACCACGTTCGCATTCTCGGTGAGTTGTCGTCTTCTTACTCTCGACAAATCACGTGAACCCCTTCGAGCGCTAAAAAAAAAATAACGACGACGACAACGACAACAAGGATGGAACGACTCATCACATTTGAAATTTCGTGGATGACCCACTATTTTTCTTTCTCTTTTTTATTCTCTCTCTCTCTCTCTCTCTCTTTCTTTTTCTTCTTTTTTCATACAAATAGTGATCGTTCGATTTCACAGCACTCGATCGATTATCTTCATTAATTATTTTTTAATAACAATTATATCTCGTATTTCTATGTACTCAAAACTTCTGGACACGTGAAAAACTTTTTTTTTGGAGAGCGGGGAGAGAAGAATAGAAGAGGAGGGGGATAAATCGACAGAGAAAAAAAACGACGGGAAAATTGTTCGTAGGTGCATGTATATGTGCATCTGTCTGTCTGTCTCTCTCTCTCTCTCTCTTTCTCTTTTTTTTCTTTCTTTCTTTCTTCTCTCTCTCTCTCTCTCTCTCTCTATATCCCTCTCTGGATTTGCGCGTGACAGTACACGAAGATGTCAATTGAACGCGTTGAAATTTTAATGCACTTTCGATTGATTGTTTATTCGGCTTAATTTATTGCTTTACGAAAAAGAAGAATCACAGATAATAACGACAGATAAAGATGGGTAAATAGAGAAAAAGAAACGGAGAGATGGATGGAGAGAGAGAGAGAGAGAGGGAGAGAGAGAGAGAGAGAGAGAGAGAGAGAGAAAGGAAGAGGATCAAAATTAAAGTCGAATTCGCGATTGGTCATTCCAATTGAGACTCTTTCGTCTGATCGAATCGGGAAACGATTCGTCGCTATACACCACCTCGTTTCATCTCTGTCTCTTCTTCGTTAAATGCAAAAATTAATCTCTCTCTCTCTCTCTCTCTCTCTCTCTTTCTTACACACACATACACACCCGCACACACACACGCTCATATACACACATATATGTATACATGTGAATGTATATGTATAAAAATATTTATATGCGTTTGTGTCTGTTCATATATTATCCACACTAGTTGTTGGTCAGAAACT